GGGACGGATCCATCTCAAACCACAAATGCCCAACAACCAGATCTGCAAATCTGGAACGACTTGAGAAAGGCAGATTTAGTCATTAGACACCTGCAGAAATCATTTTTTTTATTCACATCTGACACAGAGCAAATATCACTACACACGTGTGATCACAGAAATCCACACTGGATCCCATTTTTCCACATTTGTTCTCCCCCCCTTCCAAATGTGGTTTTAATCCGATACATATCCGATATTTGGACATCAGATCCACGTCTAAACATGTGTATTTCCGATTCCCTCTGGAATTCCAAGCCACCACAAGGCAACGGAGACACATTTACCTACAAAGATAACTTTTATTAGATGTTTTATTATAAAGTAGATTAGGCCTGTCGCAATAATCAATATATCGACTTATCGTGCAATATATGTACATGACCTCAATAATTTTTGGTGACGCAATATATCGCCCACTATATTTGCTTAAAAATTTGTGTCACCATGTTTTGTACATTCCACTTGCGCCAGTGTCTTTTACAGCTTCTCGTACGTAATGTGGTGTAGTCATGAGGTGCTAGTTCAAATTTAAAAAATGCTTCTACAAAAAAAAGTTTCATCTGCAGATATGGTCTTGTTTAGGGATCTGTGCCTTTGTGAATACGCATTCTGGGGCAATATACGGACATCTGACTGCTAAGTAGTGATTGTGTTTTTCAGCAATAGTGTGCACCCTTCATTTACAGAGATTTTCAGGGAAAAATCTGTAGATGGAAAAATCTCCATACAAGTTCTGTGCGCATTTTTCTTTTTTTCTACTTGTTACTTTGCATTTTTTGTTAGAAGTGACGGGCCTAAAGTAGATAAAGTCTCATCAAACTCTCACACACTGTCTGTAATTTTACTATAAGTATTGTAATTTTACAGTTATACTGTAAAATACAATGATTTTTATTTTTAAAATATTTATAGTACTTTTTATTATTATTATTATTAATAAAGATATATAATCAACATTTTCGGGCTCATTTTGCTCTTTTTTTTCAGACCTGCAAACAAGCACAAAAAACCTGGAGCTTGTACATTTATGTTCCATGAAGATATTTTGTACATTTCCTACCGTAAATATATCAAAACTTCATTTTTGATTAGTAATATGCATTGCTAAGAACTTCATTTGGACAACTTTAAAGGCGATATTCTCAATATTTTGATTTTTTTGCACCCTCAGATTCCAGATTTTCAAATAGTTGTATCTCGGCCAAATATTGTTATATTCTAACAACCATACATCAATGGAAAGCTTATTTATTCAGCTTTCAGATGATGTATAAATCTCAATTTCGAAAAATTTACCCTTATGACTGGTTTTGTGGTCCAGGGTCACATTTAGAGTAATTTTTACATTTTGTTAAATGCTTTAATAGTAGTAGTAATAATAATAATAATAATTTATTGATACATAATATCAACATTTTGGTCATTTCTTTTGATCACTTTTTTCAGAACTACAAACAAACACCGAAAACCTGGAGCTAAAAAAAAATTTAAACCACAATCGCACTTTTTTAACAGGAAAAAAAAAATCAGTTTCTGAGGTGAATCCGAGTAATTTCACTAAACTATTATGATTTATTTTGTTAAACAAATAAACTATCAAAACAGTTAGTGACCTGAATAACGACATATCCAGTTTAATGGCAAACATATGATTCACTCCTTTCTACAGGATTCACCATCAAGAAACGAGCTTTAATGGAAACGAGTCTGTATCTGTGAAATAGAAGCCAACACAAAATGACAGAAGAGCCGATTGAAGAACGCTGGAAAGGAGTGTCTGACTCGGGGAGCGTTCACACAGGAATTGAAATCATCCCAATATGGCACGAGAGTGATTTTAAGAATGCCAGACATGCGTGTCACGCACAGAGAAAGGCCGTCCAAACAAATGAAGTGTGTTTGTGTTTGAAGGGCGAGAGTGAGAACACAGCTGAAAGTGAAGAGACGTGAGAAAATGCAAAGACTCTGGTGCAGCTGCATCCATTCTCAAGGGCAAATGCCATCAGCTGAGGATCCAGTTTAGTGTGTCAGGTGTGAGTGATGTTCAAAGCCAGGGGAAACTGAACTATTCTTAACTTGACCTATCATCTGAAAAACACAACACTCTGCATGTGCACAAAACTGCTTTTTTTTTTTTAATTGCTGGTTTGTGTGCACAATCAGACGTTGATGACTGTTCTGTCACTCCTTGCTGAGCTTTGTGTTTTTAAGATGACACACCTGGAGTCTGGCAATAATAGAACTGAAACGGTGTTGTTATTACGAACTTAAAAAAAATAACATTTATGCAAATGGAAATAAATTAAACATTAACAGAAAAAATATTTGTAAAAAATATATTTTTTAAAGGAATTTATTTCAGTTAATTGTGAAGGCAAAATATCTAATTTCCATTCAGTTTAAGTACTAAAATTGCTAAAACAAAAACTGAAATAATTATTAATAAAAGCTAAACAGACATATTAAACAAAAAAGTAATAAAAACTACTAAAACACAACAAAATTACTATAACTAAAATTAAAATTAAAACAGAACATATAAACATTAATTAAAAGTATTAAATCAAGATTATTTTATTAATTATTTACTTTTTTTAAAAATATTTTTACAGTGAAATTACAATAGTAATATTTTTTATTTTGTTTAATATTTTACTTGGCAGTATAAAAAAAAACTAAAATTGAAATATTAATAAAAACTAATCCGACATTAAATGGAAAAATTTACTAAATTACTAAAATTAAAAACAGAAAATATCAATATTAAAATTAATTACTACTTAATTACTAACATAGTACAGTAATGATACTAAAATAACACTGGTTTGAAATTTGTGGTTTTAAAGAGGATGAATTTAGAGGCAACTTCTCATTAGAAAGAATAAGCTGTCTGCATGATCAAATTCATCCCTTTTACAACATAATTATAAATTACAGACCATTTATAACACACTATATATTCACTAGTTAGTAGACTTAACCAATCAACTAGCGAGTCGTTGTCCATCCTGATGAATCACTATTAGCAACATTTCCTCCATAATCAAACTAGTTAGTTAACAATTTGAAGATTAATTCACACCTTCATACACACACGCTTCTCGATCAAAGATCGCGGGTTACAGGATGTGACACAGGAAATGTTTCTTCAGCCCATACATGTACAATAAATCACTCTAAACTCTGATTAGAACGAGATGAACGAACTTTGAGCTAGAAAACAGAAAGAAGCCGAACAAGACAAACAAATTGCACAAGTGATCAAAACATCATGCCCAAATAGTTTCAGTGATTAATGTGCGAGTCATTGAGAGGGAAGCACTCCAGGTGGAATAAAAATTAATAACCGAGAGTGACATCATGGCTCCAGTCTTAAAGGGACAGTTCACCCAAAAATCAACATTCTGTCATTTAAGGAAATCCTACATGAGGGTGAATACTTTTGTTATTTTGGGAGAACTGTCCCTTTAACTTACAAAAGATGAGACAGAAGGAAGGACGAACATCTCACGGCCCAAAGGAAATGAGCTCTACAACAGTCATTGGGTGTAGATGGACAGGAAGTAGGGGACTCGGAAATTAAGTCTGAGAACATCTAGTTTCTCAGACTCACAACCGACTAAACTCAACCGACTGCTGCTGAAACCACACTGATTAGGCTGTGCATTGTAGAACTAAGATTTTAAAAGGTTTTTAACTTTAAAGGAATAGTTTACCCAAAAATGAAAATTTGCTGAAAATGAATGCACCCTCAGGCCATCCAACATGTAGATGAGTTTGTTTCTTCATCAGATTTGGAGAAATGTAGCATTGCATCACTTGCTCAGCAGTGGATGCTCTGCAGTGAATGGGTGCCGTCAGAATGAGAGTCCAAACAGCTGATAAAAACATCACAATAATCCACAAGTAATCCACACCACTCCAGTCCATCAGTTAATGGCTTGAGAAGCCAAAAGATGGCCTGAGGGTGAGGACACTTTCAGCAAATTTTCATTTTTGGGTGAACTATTTCTTTAAACTCTCATTCAAACAAACATAAAGTCAAAAATAACACAGATACATAAATCTCACTGAAAAATAATGTTTCAGCTCTGGAGCTTTTGGTGGTGCTCAAGGTTTGTGTATCAACCGCTTAGACAGTTTGTGGGAAAAATGAAAACCGCTGCCAAGAAAGGTCACCAAACCAAGCACACTTGAAATTCCTGCGACATCCTCCCGAAGCAGTGGCGGACGAGCAGGAATTTGGCAAAAGGTCAATCTGTAACTAATAAGGCAACCAACAGGAGTCAACAACAGCAAATCGGACCATATGTGAGGACAAATATATATATACTAAGAGACTGACAATATGTTAGCACTGTCTTTCCTGTTTCACAGATTGCACGACTATCTGGCAACATCTCTGCCCGTTTTCACCCAGTGACACCCTCAGTTTTGGCTTGTTTTAAGTGCACTACTTGTTCTGCGTGTTTTAGCTTTGGTGGCGGATCGGAGCTTCACTAGCGCTGACTCACATGCACGTATCGGACTCTCTCTCTGCTTTCACTGAGGAAAGTGAGTCGGGTCGGATTAAACGGAGGCCTCACAGGAAATCCAGTCTACCAACACAGTCATCCGACCCAGAGCCAAAAACACAGAAACGGAAACACCTGTAGCTACTAGCTAGTGACTGTGCATCAGATCAAGATAGCAACAGGTGTTGGCGCTGATAGCCTCGTGGGCAGCATGCTGACATATGGCGCAGTTATGCTTTGGGCGTCCCGAGTTCGAGTCCCAGTTTATGGGCCTTTCCTAATCCCACCCCCCTCTCTCTCTCCCACTTGCTTCCTGTCAAAATCTACACTGTCCTATCAAATAAAAGGCAAAAATGCCAAAAAATTCATTCTAAAAAAAAAAAATGATAGCAACAGGTAATTCTGTCACAAAGTACTGTAGGCGCTTACTTCTACCAACATTACCTCTATAACAGGCTTGAAATACATCTCGGTGGGTTTCTGAGTGCTCGGAAACAGGCTAAATTAAATGAAGTGGTTTCTCATCTACTACACGCTGATCAGAAACAAAGAAAAACCAGAACCACATCAGGCCACGGCTGAGAATAATACAGAGACACAGAAACTGCGATACTGCGACTCGCCCTGCGTTTTCTCTGACTCTGGCTCAAAGGTCAACTACGACCAACCCGTCCTGTCAGCAGACAGGAGATCAGATCTTTCCTGCCAGGACGAATCAGATTTCTTGTTTGGTAACAGAAGCCATTGCAGAGACTGTGTCTCTGGTCTGACAGACTTTAGCGCTTATTATAATATGTATTTAACGCAACATATATAATGTATTTACCAATTAGCAGCACCCTAGACCGAAATTTACTTTAGAATGGAAAACACAGTGACAAACTGCAGTAATTAATAGTCCAGCATTATTTTGGGGGGGGGGTCTAATAGCAATTTTTCTGATAAAAATTTTGCT